TGACCTGAACTCTTGCTGCATCTGTTTGGCCCCCTTTAAGCCATAAAAGACTTCTTTGTTTTTCTGTTAGTAAAAATAGTACATGCTCATTATAAAAATTCCAGTCATATTTTTTAAAAAGTAAACTTGCCTTGAAGTCCTGCCAGATTCTCAGGGATAATCATAACCTTTTCTGAATATCTTATCTGTGTACACACACATTTTTCTGAATATCTTATTTTGTGTACATGTACACACACATTTTTAAAAAATAATGTGCTACATGCTGTTTTGTGACTTGACTTTTTCTGTTGAACAGCACATTCTGCACCTTCTTTTTCTACTTTAATGAATTAAGCTTTATATAATCTCTTTTAATGGCTATATAGTCTACCATCGAATGAAAGTATCTGTATTAGTTAGAATATATTATAGTGTTGATTGCTAAGATAAAGACTAAATAACAGTGATTTAAATAAGACATAAGTTTTATTTACTTTTCTCAGACACAGCTTCTGTAGAGTCTGCATATCAGAGCTGACAGTCTTTGCCTTGTTACTCCATCAATCTTGACGTGGGATGAGTTGGTGAACCTCTTAACAGAAGAATTAAAGCTGGATAAATATCGAAGAAATGATGGAATTAGAAGAATAATTTTGCAACCCTCAGTATAATAATTGTTTTAGGAAAAGATCATCAATGGCCAAACCTTTGGTTGAAAGTATCTTTAAAGTGGGGGAGGGAGTACCTTTACAGCTGAGAGATCTGGGTAATACTTCATGTTAGTATCACCAGTAATGGGTCAAACTGACATAGGCTTCCTGGTAGGATGTGAAAAAAGCCATAGAGATGGGGATTGTTTTCAATTGAAAGAGACCGAAGCATGACAGACAACTTAATTCATAATCCTCGGTTAGGTTACTAGTTTTTAAAAAAAATAGATATAAGGGGCATTGTGGAAACAGTTGGGTAAATCTGAACATGGACTAAGTGTTAGACCGTATTGTTAAATTACTATTACATTTCTTGGGTATGATAGTGGTATTGGGGTTAAGGAGGAGAATATCCTTGTTCTTTAGGAGTACATACTAAAGTAATTAAGCATCACAGTGTCTTTAACTTTCAGTTTGTTCCAGAAAAAAATTGTGTAGAGAGGGAGGGAGGAAGTTTATATGGCAAAACATCTTTATAGAGTTAAAAATTTCAAAATAAAGTTCGCAGGATCGAGAGCAGAGTTGTGTTGCATGGTCATTCAAATGACCAAGATCATTTTGTCAAGTTCCTCTGGAAATCTCATTAGTACTTTTGGGGCTTGCAATTAAAGATAGGTTTCTTTAAGTAAAATTTGACAAATTTGCAATTTTGAGTCTTCTTTTCTAAGAAAAGCTATGTCTCTTCTTTTGTTCTGGTTACCTTTATGCCTCTCAGAGTTTTGCAGTTTTGTTTTTATAGGTCCCACACGCTTACGGCTAAGTAGCTTAATGTTTTTTTGTTGCTGTTGAGAATGTGATTTTTATTATTTTTTCTACTAGTTCTTATTGGTCATAAGACAAATATCAACAATTTTAATGACTGTTAATATTTTAGTTAGTTCTTTTAGGTTTTTTAGGTGTGCAGTCATGTCTTCCAAATAATAAATTGCTCTTTTTATTGATAAATATACTTCTCATATTCTCTTGTCTACTACATTGTCTAGAATTTCTAGAACTTGTTACTTACATTAATGGGATTGGTGCTGTATTAGTGTTCCATTGTTAAACATAATGCTGGCTGTTGATTTGAAGGGTGTCTTAGGATATTTGTGTTTATGGTAAAGGGTGAATGCAGACTTTCATCAAATACTCTTTTGATTTCCATCACAGGATTTTTATAGAGTTCTTCCTTCATTTCAATAAATTATATTAATAGATTTTCTAATATTTAATAGTGCCTATTTAAAAATGAGACTGCTATATAGGGTTTTGAATTTGTTTTATATCTTTCTCAGGCTTGGGTTTCAATTTAAATTGCTTCATAAAATTCGTTAAACTTTTCATCTTGCTGTGCTCTGAAACAGTTGAGATGATATCACACTTTAATGTTACTTGAAGATGAGAAGTAATTTACCCATGTCTGTAGAGTTATTTAATTTCTTTCTTGGGTCTGTTTTTTAGTCTGTATCAGCACGAAGTTGTAATCCATACTTACAATTTTTTATTCTAAATTTTAGTATTCCTCTTTTGTTTTTTCCCCGAAAGAGCCAGTTTTGGAATTTATTTATCAAGTCTAGTATCTTTCTGTTGTTTTAATTCATTCTGCTTTTACTTTTATTAAAACTTTTATATTTTTCTTAGATTTGTTTCTTTTTACTTCCTGAGTTGAGTGATTAATTTATCTTTGGTCTGATTGATTAATGAAAATATTTACGACTGTATGCATTGATTGGAACCAAAAAATGGTGGTATTTAACACTTTTTGCCTTCTGAGACCTGGCAGCTCTAAGAGCTAGCATCATTTCCCAACATCCTAGTTCTTACAGTTCTTTGAATCTGAGCCAATATCCTTGTCAGCTAACTACATGAGCCAATAAATTCTCTTTCGAGAATTTTTACTTGTACTATCTGCAGGATACCTCTAACTGGGTGTTGATTGACATGTTATGAAAAAAGTTGTCTGTGCCTAAATAATTATAAAGCTGTTTGGTCTTTTACCTTATCTTACATCTTACTTATGTTTTCTGACTGCTTCCTTTGTTTTGTATCTTTCGACATGGGTTGCTCCATCGCAGTCTTTTGAAAGATGTTTAATATATTTTTAGTTTTACAGGTGATTGTGTTTAAGTGTTCCTAAACACATATTTCCTCTTTATCTACTTTGACAAAGTCTACCTATTGACCCTGCCAGTGAAATAGAGGAAATGTACCTTTTCTTACCAACCCTGGTTGCTAGAAAGATTCTTTTCCTTTATATATCTGAAAATAAATAGATTTTGTTAAGCTCTATGTCTTGATGTTCTACTTGTAATAACTTTTGCTGGTATATAATGAATACTTTTGATCTGTATATTCAAGTATTCCTTCATTTATATTTCATTAATCTTTATCTTTGAATAATTTTCTTTCAAGTGCTTTTATTATTATTATTCGAATATTGAGTACTCATTCTGTACCAGGCACCATACAAATCAATGGCGATGAGTAAAACAGCCCTGCCCCCACACGTATCAGTCAGGCCCAGGTTGGAGATAAATGTACTTTGTTCATACCACTGATCACTTATCACATTGTACAGCAGTTTGTGTCCGTCATTCCCAGCTAAGATATGAATTCCCCAAAAGGGCATTGTGTCTTATATACTGTTGGAAAACCTGATTCATGGAGAGAATGTCAGTAAATAATGTTGGAGTAAATGGCTTGATTTTGTTGAAATGCTTAACCCCTGAATTTCCTCTTAGATTTTGCTCTCTGCCTACCCAGTATGAACTGTTCCTACCTTTGTTCTTATCCTTATTCGTAATTGTGAATATGATTTCTTTACCTTTTATAGTGTATCATCTCCTACATTATTTTCCCCACCAGTGCTCATTTTTACAACTACCATATCTTTTATGTCCATAATATGTGTCTCCTTCCTCACCATTGCACCTGCAATTCCAGCACAGCTGTTTATGAGAACAAGGAACAGTAATACTGATATTTGATTTTATTCAGATTCTGGGTACTTGCTGATTTTATTCCTGCCAACTCGGGATTACTACATGACATAGGTGTGTCTTGGCTTTTCCTGTCTGTAGCCAACATTTAAAATGTGTTTTTATTACCTGATTAATCTCAGCATTGTTCTCTGTTTTACTTCTTTTTAAGGATCTGCATGTTGGTATGTTGTGATGAAGGTCAGAAGCCATTGCTGCTCTTTGTTACTATTGTCCTTATTCATGTATTTTTTACCTTAAAAACACCAAACTAATGCTTACACTAATTAGTTTCAGACTTTAATCTTTACAGAGCAGTGTATTCATTGGCATAGTGGCAATTCTTTGGGAGAAATCTTAGTATATATAAAAGGCAATGTTGACAGTAGTGACTGATTCTAAAAGATTATTAAATCCCACTAAAGTATAAGAAGAATTGAGTAACAAATATTCCTGAGAGCTTATTCATTCAGAAGCAGCATTAGTTTCCACAGGCATCAGCAGAGTTCCTTAACTCAGGAGACAATATATTATGATGTAACTGTTCTGACAGCTGATGGAACATGCACTTGTGTATTTTTATGTTTGAAAAATATCTGAGTTTTCATTTATAACATGGAAAATAACAATAAATATAACCCACATTTTAAAAGTGCAATAATTTTTAAGAGTTGAAAGGAGTCCTGAGATCAAAAAGTTTGTGAAGTGCTTCTTCTCTACGGCATAGTTAAATCAAACTTGCAGACTTGCTTCTTTCCATTTCCTGTTTATTGGAGGGGTGTTTTTGTTTTTGTTTTTAAGGCACCATAACCTATTCTCTTTCCTGCTGTCTCAGGGAATAGAATAACATTTTTATTTGCTGTTGGCAGTTCAGGAAGTTGTCTATAAATAGTTCTTGTGCAGAGGTGCAGAGCTGACTGTCGAGGACAGAAGTTCTTTCCTCTAACATTACTGGCCAGAATGACTGTCTTAGGATGCGATGTGCTCTCATTACCGGAGGGGTCCAAGCAGAGATTAGACAACTGTTATCCAGAGTATTTTTAAAGAAGATTAATAGTTCAAGTAGGGTTCTCTACTGAAAGGAATCTAATAGGGCCCCTTAAAAGACACTTAAAATCTTACACTTTTAGGGCTTTGGCTGCATGTGAATTCTAACACTAGCAAACAGTGGAGTTCTTATAGTTGGTATTGCCCATTTAAATTCTTTCATGTGAAACCTAAGAAATTTAAATGAATTATAAAAATGGACTTTCCAGTTTTGTTAATTCTGTTGACCTATTTTATGTCTCCCATATAAAATGTATATTTAATCAACTTGCTTACTTTTTTTTCCTCATGTGTTTCATTTCAGTTGGTCGCATTATGTTTCAGCTCTTCTCAGACATATGTCCAAAAACATGCAAAAACTTCCTTTGCCTCTGCTCAGGTAAATGAATTATTAAATTATTTCCAGTGAGAAGTCATGGCTTACAATTTGACCTTACTTAACAGAGTAGATATTTTCCTAAAAAGTAACGGGCTGTGAAATGAGTTTGGCAAATAAAAATATTATTTTCATTGATATGAAATCAGAAAACCATTTCTTAAAGGGAAGAGAGAAGATGTGGTTTCAAAAATGAATAATAAAGTACTAGTGTGTGTAATGAAATCTTCTCTATACATTGTAGTTTATAAAATAATAGCATTTTCAAAACTGATTTGTTTGGGTAGAATTTTACAAATTTTGGTACTCTGAACAAATATAGCACTCCAGATTTCACAAGAAATTTAGGATTAGAAAATAGAGGGGCAAAACATAGTGAAGTTATTTTTTTGTTATGTATAATTGGATTTATATTTTCAAAAAGTAGAAAAATTGGGAGGAAAAACATCTATACTGTTACTTTAAAAATGGAAATAGCAAATTTAAAATGTGAAATCCACACTTGGACACACACACATGCATACACAATCTTTGTACTACCTTCTTTTACTGGAGTGATAACCAGTTTTGATCTTTTCTCCTGTAGCATGTAGAGTCTATACCACACAATTTAACATTTGCATGCTGCTTTATGTTATTTATTTTGGTGTGTATGTATTAAATTGTCACACTGTACCTCTTGTGTCTCTTACAGCGCTCAACACACAGGAGGGATTTGACAAAGGATTAATTGAATGGTACTTTCCATGGAAGGATGTTTTTGTAGCTAAACTTCTTTTTTTTTTTCCCCCCTAGGGGAGAAAGGCCTTGGGAAAACAACTGGGAAGAAGTTATGTTATAAAGGTTCTACATTCCATCGTGTGGTTAAAAACTTTATGATTCAGGGTGGGGACTTCAGTGAAGGTAGAGCTAAAAGTTATGCTCCTAATAACTTGATCTGTCAGTTTCTAAAGTGCACATTATTATTTTTAACTGTAAATATTATATCACTTACAGTATGATATAAGTATTAGGTAATCAGTGAGTAGTTATTGGATGAATGAATGTTGTAGACCTAGAATGTATGAAAAAGCAAAATACTAAGACATTTTGTTTTTATGCAGTTTTAATAATATTATAATTACTTGGTGAATTACCTTACAACAAATGCCAAAATACTGTTCGATTGTTTTTATTGTTCTCAAATTTTATTGGTGTGGTTACTGTTTGAAATAAATGGGTTATGGAGATGATTACTTTAACAGTATTTATTATAATAGGGTTGCACTTATATTTTCAAGATGAGGTTTATTGAGGATTGTTAGGACGTTGATTATCTGCAACAATTACAAGGCATTATCTCCTTCAGCAAATTGAAACCATAAAAAGTAATTTATATGTATTAGTATATTTTTACTTTTCATTATAGTTTAATGTAGTTCCTTATTTGCAGGTAATGGAAAAGGCGGAGAATCAATTTATGGTGGATATTTCAAAGGTAAGCCTTAGTATTTTATGATCTCTTGTTTCAGTTCTGATATTAAAGCAAGTTTGATCATGTACTTTTAATGAGAAGAGGTTTACTTATAGTTCACTTTTTGCATGAAACTAATGCTGCATGAAAATACTTTATTTGCATGAACTTGGGGATAAATTATACTGTAATATGTAACTTTTAATTGACAAGATTAATTAAGGCTAACGTTACAGTTAAACATGACTTTCAGCATGGAGGTTAGGCAACTATATACATGAAAACTCCTATCTTCCTGCCTAAAACTGTCAACATATTCTTTTGTTTATAGAGAATGTGGTCTTTTGCAAAATGAAAAGGTAAGAGAACGAAGCTCAGTAACACAAACTCCAATTCTGTTCCCTTGCACCCTTCCTAATAAATTTATGGACAGTCTGGGTCAGGTTGTGGCTGGATTTCAGTATTGCTTGAAGACTTGGAAAATTTTGTATACTGTTCCATACATGCATCTGTATCTTTTTTCTTTTCCTGATGGGTTATTAGTTCCACATCAGGGCAAAGAATCTGGTTGTGTTTTTTTTTCCCTAAATCAAGCAATTTCTTTGAATAAAAGTTGGTATTTCTTCCTTTCTCCAAGGTTTGTATGTTTTCTTTTGTATACTAGAACTATATGATTGTGTATTATTCCTACAGTAGTAGCATTTACATAAATCTAACTATTACACTTGCCCCAAAAAGCCTTAGAAAAGTCAGTTGCAGAGATTTATAATGGGATCCAATATTACTAGGTTTTAATGCCATGATAGCTTCAGTGTTATAATAGTGTTTTATATTTCTTTTGGGGAAAAATGGATTACTACTCTTTTTCAGAAGCCTGTTCCCAAGGTAATCATTTTTTAAAGTTTTCTATGTTTCTGTTTGTTCTAAAGAAAGATTTGTTTGTATGAATGTTAAAAGGAAATTTAAATTCTCAAGATACTTCTACTGGAATTAAAATAATCTCTAAGTAATCTTTATGACAGTTTTTCCTTTGAACTAGTAAGAAACAGCTTTCTGGCTGGTTCTGTTAGCATGTAGCTTTGAAATTAATGCTGGTAGGCCACTTTAATGTGGTTGTTCCCTGTGGCAGATACTGTGTATCTTAAAATTGTATTTTGCCAATTAAGTTGTTTTTACAGGACTTTCTGCCTTGCGTAATTTTGTGATCCTGTTGATTAGAAAGAATCCACATACTTAATTTAAACATGTCCCTACAACTTAATTTATATTATTTTGAATTTTTGCTCTTATAGTCTATAACTTCAGTTCAATTAAACAATACATTTACCATGTAGAAATTAAGCACATAAGAAGATTATTAGACATCTCCCATGTATAATGCATTAGGCAGGATAATTGGAAATTTGGAGGACATGAGATTTACTAAATAGAGATTTTTCTAAAATTTCTTTACTAGTTTTCCCTGAAAGTTAATAGCTTAAATATTATTTAGCCAAAGTACGTTACTATTAAAAGTGACTGTTCTAAGGCTGTTTGTATAAAGTATTAAATATATGTTCTTTTCCTCAAAGCTTTAAGTAGTGTTTCTTGGTGTTTTTATTCTTTTGTTATTCAATTAGTTAAAAAAATTTTTTCTAAATGTTCAGTCAAGTATCTGTACTGACCAGAAGAGGAATTTCACCTTTTGCTTTCTATTTATTTCTGTGAACATGACACTTTAAAAGTGGCTTATAATTGGAGACTGACGGATTTGTGCTTTCTTCAAACAGACGAAAACTTTGTTCTCAAACACGACAGAGCGTTCCTTTTGTCAATGGCGAACCGCGGGAAGCACACCAATGGGTCCCAGTTTTTCATGTGAGTGGGCGCGATCCGGAGATGAGCTTGTCTTAGACAGAGAAGCGCTGTTCATGGGAAAGGTGGTGTAGTTAAACCAAGTTTAATGCTAGCATGCTGTCAGCTTGGGTTTTATTTTTAATTTCTGATATAGTAATCTATCAGTTCTAGCAGCCACTTCCGCATTCAGCATATATTCTGGTTTTGAAGAATGGTACTTAAAAGACGTAACTTGAAGATGTACATTATCTTCAAAATATGTTGTCATTTTACAAAAAGAAATTGACTTTGACTCTTAACAAATTTGGGTGCTTAGTTTACCAAAGCTAGATTGGAAAATAAGCTATGGATGAACATTTAAAAATTGTTCATAGACTGGGACTAGAGGTGCCCGTAGCGTGGAAAGCAATTGGTTTGAATAAACCATTGTATGGTTGCTTTTTCTCTTACTGTTGCTCTTTGAGCCAGTTTGAGAGAGATACTATTATTTTCTGATACTGTATAGAAATAAGTGATTCGCTGTCGAGCCAGCATTTTTAAAAACTCAAACCTTATGAGAGCTCTGTGCATAATTGAGATAACTCAATGATGCTGTCATTCCCACCACAATTTATGAGAGTATCACTCAGGAAACTTCAGAGCGCTAAATTTGCTTTTAAAAAAAGAAACACCTTTATATGTACATGCATGCACAACCAAAACCTTACTTATTTCTCATCTGAAAGACTTCTGGCATACTTTTATATTCTTTATCTACAGCTACTCCAAAACCTATTTTTATTATAATCCCATGATATAAAATATGAAAGATAATTGTCTAGCATGAAGTTTAATGCTTTAGATTGGAAGTAAATCACTACAGTTGTGCTGTGTATATCGGAGAAATATTTTACTCATGGTTTATCAGAAAAAGTGGTTTTTTAGGTCATCTTTCTGAATGGATTAGTATGAATGGCGCTTCCCTGTCTTTAAAGGAGTTCATATACAATAAATCTCACATTGTAAATTTGTCTGATAAATAGATTTCCAACATGATCTGATAAAGTTCAGATAAGGGGCATTCTGTTCCTAAGAATGTCCTAAAAATGGAAAGCTGATAGAAGATGATAATGCTTGGAGTTGTACAGGAAAAAAAGGAAGACCTTAAACAGTAGTTCCTATATCTTGTTTTGATCCCAGAGAGTACTCGTTGTTACATTTCTTTATAGAGTATTTTTCTATTCTTAACCTTCCTCAGGGCCAAAAAAAGCAGTGGGAAATATCTTGAAAAACTTCTTAAATGGTAATTAAATATAGAAGCTGTTTACTCTTTGATTGAGTTTTCCCATTTCCATTTTTAAGCTTATCTGAACTGAACATGATAAACTAATGATTCATTGGTCAAGAAGCTACCACCTGAGGGCTCTAAAGTTTCTTTTAGATTTCCTTTTTTTATATCAGTACATGTAAAATTTGATTTATCAGATAGCAGCAACTTCTCATTGTTATCGATTAGCTTGTTTCTAAAATGTTAAGAGTTAAAACCAGTGTACTTACATATATTAATTAAAATCTAGTATATGAAATTCTCCCTTCAAAAAATTAAGTGTCTTTTTTCTATGTTATTTAGTACTTGCTTAAGTCTTTCCTCAGAATGTTTAGCATCAAAACAAAATTAAGGCCATTTCTTAATTTTATAGCAGACTGCTGTTTTTGAATACCAAATGAAAAGTATACCAAATGAAAATTTTAACATCAGTAAATTAAGATTAAAAATTTTAAACTTGTTTTCCTAATTAACTGTAGATGGCATTAAAATCACTGTGAACCTGTGAGTGAAAGAAAATTTTCTAGTTTTAGTTTGAAATTTACTTCTGGAAATGAGTTTCCAGTTAAAAGCAGTCTTGGAAGTAAAAGTGTTTTTGCACACACAAACAAATTCTTATCAATTTTTTTAAAGAAATTTTTATGAATGTGCTTTTTTAATGCTGGCTTGAAAGTACCAGTTCCCGGTAGATTGCAGTGTAAAAATCAAACTAATGTTCATATCTCTAAACAAAACATTTCCTTGCTTTTATAGAAAGGATAGGTAAAGTGGAGAAGGTTTTTCCCATAAAAGAAAACTCTTTGAAAATCCATATCTCACAAGCCTAAATCCTTTAGAGTCAGAAGTTGTAAAAAAGTACAATGTGCTATCTTCAGGTTGTATATGTGATCACAGGTAATAGCTCTGAAATTTGAGGTTTTGAGGGTTGGTGATCTCAGAGCTCAGACGGCTTCCCTGCCTTTTACCCTCTTACCACACTCTT